TGGCATTTCATATTAATTTTATTTTACTATAGGTGTTTATTTTTTTATTTGGATTCTTTTTTGTGCGTGTAGTATTATTTAAAAGAAATTTAGGTTAGAATTCATTCAATTTAACTAAAATTAAATATATATATATATATATATATATATATATATATATATATATATATATATATATATATATGTTCTATAATAATTAATAAAATCATTCTAATCTAGGTCCTGTTGAGTTAAACATTGCGATATCTGATAAATATCCATAAAATTTCAATATTTTTTATACACTACCTATTTCCCTATATAGGCATTAACCACTTTTAGTGAAAACGTTCTGTTCGTTTTGACATACAATAAATTATTTCGTATCTGCCTATTCACAAGGACATATAGCATAGCGGATAAAGGCATTTATTAGATCCAGTGACAGGACCCAAAGAACGTGAGTTCAATAGCCGTTTAAGACAGTTGAGAACTTGGAGAGGAGAATTAACGAAAGATAACTGATAACTGACATCCATTAGACATGGCACGTGGAACTAGAACCGTCTACCCCTTGTGAGCGAAATAAATGGTTCAGTTCGACATTCCAACCACCTGAAGAAGGCCGGAGCGTACAACGGCCGAAACATAGTGATAAATATGGCAACAATGATGAGGACGATAGTTCGAACAATCTAAATAGTGTAGATAAATTATTTAATTTTCCCTATATTATAATTAATATTATTTTATTATTATTTTATCATGTATAGATAATATAAATATATTGTTAAAAGGGAATTGTATTCTTAGGCAAGAGTGTCCAAATCGGGGATATTACGTATATTGATCAAGAAGATTACATCGAAGGGTGAATCTGTCAGTCACGATGAAATGTTGAGGGTTATGTCTACACTATCTATCTTTCTATATGTGAATAAAGACTTAAGGAAAACCTATCTATGCCGACACATTCCGCCTCTGAAGGACTTTATCAAGGCAATTGTAAGGATTTTATTTTGCAACAAGTAAGATAAGTTTTGCTTTTGTCTTTAGTCATATTGACTTTTTACAGAATTATATTTAAGTTATGTTTGAAATTTTACATACACTGATATTTTTTTTTTAATCATTACACTCTAAGCAAGTTTATAAGCTCACTGGGACGCAACGGGGTTCCTGAATGTTAGAGAATATGAGAAAAAAAAATGATGCACTATTAAGGAGAGGGTACAAGAAATATGATGGCAGAAGATAATGATTGACATTGCATTAAAATTTTTAAAAATCAAACTTGACTGGGAAGAACAGAAAAAGAGTTTCACAACCGAGAAGTGCAATAGAATAAACTGTTAGCATAGAACTTACGGTTACATCTAGATATTTCACCTGAAAAATGATGAGACCTAACCGCCAATCTAGTACTGCGCGTAAACTCATAAAATCTAGGAAACATTGAGGAAAGTTCATCAGTTATATATATATATATATATATATATATATATATATATATATATATAGATAGATAGATAGATAGATAGATAGATAGATAATATTATTAATGGTAAATATACACATACATATATAAAATATATAAATATATATATATACATACATGCATACACATACATATATATTTTGTATAAAAAATTCAAGAGGATAGAATCCAGGTAGAACTCAATGTCCAGGACAGAGTAAGGATATAATAAAAGAGCTTAAACACTAATATTCCATGGTCATAATTTATTACATTTAAATCGTAAATACGATCAATTCATCAGACCTACAAATTCAAAAAATTTTGAATTTGTAGGTCTGATGAATTGAATCAGATTTATTCCAATGAATAAATTATGACGATGGAATATCAGTGTTTAAACCTTTTTATTATATATATATATATATATATATATATATATATATATATATGACAAAATGAGGATCATTGATCAGAAACTAAAACCTCGTTCAGTAATTCCAGTTTTCAAAATAGTAACATCTATTTAAATATTAATGTAACCTTTTTTTAA